GGTTACATATGTAAGGACTGTTCCTAAATGCTTATTTGAAGATGATCGGCATGGCTGTTTGATGGTGATTAGCCACAAGGGATGTATACGCTGAAAATGTTTTGACTGTAGAAGGTGTTTCTCGCATCTTGTGGCGCTCATTTGAGTACATTGCATATCTATTGATTGATCTGTACTTTGCTTTAGCAGCGTCAATGCACCTTTTATAAACTGAAGCTGCTTTGTGGTTTGCCCAGAAGTTTGCCCTGACTGTCGGTTTTTCCATATAATTCGATATTGGCATTTCAAATTTTTTGGATGAAATAATATCCCATGTTATTAGGTTCTGAGCGGATATGGTATTCGCTTGTAGGAATCTTGGTGCCAAAATTGTTCAAATCCAATATTCTGATCCACGAATATTCCGATTTTGTTGAGGATGGGTTCAAAGGCAATTTTTATTTTACACATGTATTGGATATGTAGAACAGCATTATGACATCATAAATATATGTGCGATTTTTGCCTTGAGCTGTATATCAGGGTGTTAGTTTTCTGTTCCGGAATATATATGCATTTCAGAAAGCGGAAGTAGCATTCTTCCAATTGAATATCAAGAAAAACCGTGATTTTAACAACTTGAGGTCGCAGGTGCTTGAATTGGACATATCTGATGCTGGTAATCCAGAGCAATATGATCAAATGGATCAAAATGCGATTTTCAGTTGAAATAGTATGTCGTAATAAATGAATGCTTTCCGCCATGATGAATGTTTTCACCATGGTAAATGTTTTTTTAGAAAATGGATGTCATGTTATGTACGCTGTATATTAAGGTAAGACTGAGGTCATCTAAAATACTAGAAAGACTGAGGTCATAGGTCATCTAAAAATAACATATACGATGCATATAATTCACAACAATGTGATCACACAACAAAATTAGTTTGGAGTCGGTTGGGTCTGATTTCGTTGAATTAATTAGTTATAGTCATTACTTGTTGTTAGATAATCTATGAAATCTATCTTTAATCTCTACTGGTGATGACATGCAATCGAAATGTCGGTTCGTTCAAAATGCGACCGAATCGGGTTTCGATACTCCGGAACTCTATTCCGAACCACTTTGAAAATTCTCCGGTTGGAATAGCAAAAAATATCCAACATTCGTCAGATTTCACGAACTGAACTTCGGTCAGTTACCACCACCACCAATCAGGAACGTCAACCACCACAGCTCAGTCGATTAGAGCGTGGTTCTAGTAAGACCAAGCTGGGAGGTTTGACACCTGCTGGCGGAAGGATTTTTGTCGTAACTGCATGATACATGTATCATCGGTGACGTGAATGTCTTGACAATCTATGGAATGTCTTCTGATAACATTTCGAGGTAAATAACGTAGATAGATCGATCACGACATCAGCAATGAACGACACTTCAGGAGCTTTGAAGGAGCATGTTTGCACTGATGGAAAACATGCTAAAATATCATAGTAATTGTCGGCGATCTGTTTAAATGGTAATTCAAGGGTGCAATAAATGCAACAGTGATGCAAATCAGAATGTTGTTCTCATTCTCAAATATCGTTACCATGACATTTCCATAATTTGGAGTAGAATTAAAATCATGCACGCATTTCGTCATTTATCCGTACTCACTTGAATTGCTAATTAGTTGCGAGGTGTTTGATATCACTCCTTGTCAGTTCCTATAGCTTCATTCGCTGTAGAAATACGACCATGCTTATTATTAATTTGGTTCGCTTCATTGGAACCCGTCAATTGTTCTGTTCAGTGTAATACGGATAAATTTGAACTATTCTCTTTCAACAAGCAAACATGTTTATTTCTATAATGCTTCATTGCGTTCATCCATTGCA